GCAATCTCCCACACAGGCTCAAAGCAAACCGACACACACAAAAACAGCTCCAAAACTGGAATGGATAAAGTTCAAGGCAGGTTTACTGAAGGTCAGAAAGCTTTTATATAAGATTCTATGTATGTCACCATTAAATTGTGTTTATTTCTTAACTTTTTACTTGGCTTGACTCTGATTCGTTGCTATTCCAAACTTGAGGAAATCAAAACAGAATGCACATCAGGACTTCTCCTCTGCTGTAAAAGTGTTGTCTGTGGTTTGGCGGGCATTTATTTCAGAATTTCATGAGGCTCAAATTCAGCCTGGGGACAAAACCTCCCTATTATGTCGTCCCACACACATACGCTTTCACACAGCGATGTTTAAACGATTGGGGGAAAACAATAGGCGCGGAGAAAGGCAAAGTTTTTTTGTTGTCACCAAAGGGACTAACTGCAGTGTTTGATTTCAGCCTGATAGGCGATCCTCCTGAGGCGCGCAATTAATATTTAACTTGATAGGCTGGAGAGGCAAGCTTTGAGCAAAGTGAGGACACATAACAATAGAAGCAATTTAAACGTGCAAAACGAAACTATTGAAAACTGCAGATCATAAGTCATCTATGGGCGATTGAAAGGGCCACTGTGCTGGGCTGCCGACTCAACATTCAATTAAAAATGTGCCATTTTATCCCCTCTCCCATATCTATTGCTCTTTGTGAAGCAGCCATGTTCATATCCATTACTCATACGTGAAGTGAGGGTGAGTGCACGTCGCCTCAGTATTGAGCATTCTCCGGCTGCCAGATTCAATCAGGGAACTTATATTATTTGCAAATAAGTGTAACGCCTGTAATTCCCCTTTAATTGATTATTCATCCTTCGCCGACCTCCGACCCCTTCTTTCCTTTCAACTTCTCCTGAGTGAAATCCAACCATCTCCTCCAAATTATTCTTGGAAGCTCCCCTGGAGAGTATGACATTTTGCCCTTTCCATGCCCAGTCATATCTGGAAGTAAACATTCCAGTGAATGAAGGACACTGCATTCCAGCGTTCAGGTTTCACCCAAGCAGAGCTTCACAAAAATGTGCGCATATATACACAAAACATGTGCAGTGTTGTGTTTGAGCACAGGATAAGCTTTTTTTTTGGCTTTTTATTGCCTTTATTTCATAGTTACAGCTGAAGATACACAGGAACGTAGAGAGAGGGATGACACGCAGCGAAGGGCAGCAGGTCAGATTCGAACCCTGGGCCGCTGCAGAAAGGACTCAGCCGCGGTACATGGGTCACCCGCTCTACCTACTGAGCTAACCGGGGACCCGCAGACTAAGTTTTTAACATATCAGTTTTAATTTTTTCATTTGTGTACTAATATTGCGTTGGTTTTTAACCCTAACCACAAACCTCTAAAATGTCAAAAGTCAAATAGATTCATAGGGTCTTTCATAAAAAATAAAAAATAAATACTTCTCTATCTAGTCATGCAGATAGTATTGGTTTCAGTTGCCCAGGTTTTATGATATCTGTCTTTCCAATACAATGCAGATGAAATGGATGGAATTTAGTTTGTGGTGCTCACAACCTTGAAAAATAATATTTAAAGAACCAGTTCTATTATGAGACCCTATTACTGGAAAGGCATGTTGTTGTTTTTTATTTTATTTTTTATGTAATGCGACCAAATTAAGTAAAATTCTTTTCCATCCAGTCAATTATAGTAGGCCTACTAGAGATATTTGTTTCTCTCATTTGGGTAAATTGGCCCTTTGAGTAAAGGTAGGAATGCCACAAAATACATTATGTAGCTAACAGAGTAAAAGAAAGTGCCTCAAAATTCTTCTCATTTGCAACCTCTGTCAAATTTGAGGGTTTTTTAATTTTAAAATATCAACAGATTTGTGTCAGAACTGTAAATTACACTAAGCAGCAAAGTGACTGTAGGTTTAGTATGCAGAGAGCCTACTGACTAGTTCAATCTGTAGAAAGAAAAGGCTATTACACAGAAGATGTTTTGAGAACTCTTTTTCCAGAAGAATTTAATTGGGGGGGTTGTCGAAATGAGCAGATTAGATGCTGTCACTCTATCTCTGATTTTTGCAACTAATTTGCAATTGTGGTACTGGGTCAATATTTGCATTGGCTGATATATTCTTCTCTCCTCTTATTCCCTCTTTGTTAAACTGTCAGAAGCTGACGTCTTTGTCAGGGATGTTCCTGAATGGCGGCGGGGTCCGCCTTTGCCTCTCACTCCGGCAGGCTGCGTTAAAGGCGGTCTGAGATATAATTGCAGAGAACTTAAAAAGTTGTCATCAGCTTCAGTAGAGATAATTGGTATAGGCGGTTCCAAAAGAGGCATTATCTTGTCATTTGTGCTGAGCAGTGTTACCATTTTAGTTCTTAAAATGGTCACATACGTGGATGTATTTACACTACAAGGAAAGTCCATTTCAGCACCTTTCCTATAAATTATTTCTTCCTCCAGGAGGGCTATATATATATTTTACAGTGTTTTAAAATTCATAGGCTTTTACTGAACGCAGGAATTATGTCTTTGTGATGGATTCCACCTTTATCTATTGTGACTCTTTACGTGTCCAAGACCATAAACATTTTTGCAGCCGTTGTGTGCATTTGAACTGTCAGCTACCAACCCTTCTTGCTCATGCCTCCCCACTATATTTCTATTCCTGCAGCTCTAAAAATATCCAAGGGCCATCAGATCCTCGGCCCCCCTCAAAGAGCTGCTGCCGTAGCATGGAGAGAGGTCCACAAAACTCGCCATTAGATAGCTTTGAGGAAGACGGATGACCTGCACCAGGCGGTGCTGAGTGTGTGCGAGCAGGGGTGGGGCTCTGGGCATAAAGATATCCGACTATCAAGGAGCCATTTGGAAGAGGTTGTCACCGAGAAGGAGCGCAATTCCCCGACAGATAGGCTGAAGGGGTAGAGGCTGGGGGGGCATTAGTGTGAAAAGCAGGCAGGGCAGCTTTGGGGTTGTTGGAGGGGAGTGCCTCTCAAATGGAACACCAGGGACGATTAATACATGACTAGAGGCATTGGGTGCTTGGCGGGGGGTTTGGAGGGCGGCGGTCATGAGGGGGAGTTAATGCTTTGGGAGGCTGGGATGAGGCCAATTTAACACATGGGGACACACACTCAACACTGGAATCAACCGGAGATAGGCTAGATTAATGATTTGTCTATTTGTTTGTCCCATTATAGAGCCAAAGTCCTGACTGTAACTCTTCCTGGGATTTACTGGATGTATTCTGATTTAACGAGTTTCTACTACTGACGCTGATATTAGAATTTCAGCTCTTATTGATTTTAACTTAAAGTATAAATAAATGCTTGTCCCCCCTTTTGAAGCCGAAAAAGGTTACACCCCTCCACCCCACAATTTTTTGTAAAAAAAGTAATGAACAGAATCCAAATTAAATTTTTGTGAAATAAAGGTCAGCCATATAGCATCAGCAAACTCTTGTTTGTTTATT